CAAAAAGAATAATATAAAGTCAAAATTTTTCGCTTTCAGCTAAGATGTGGACAAAGCGCAGTGATTAGAAAAAGATTCAAATACATGGAGTGAAGCACTGCTTTCTATTTTTTGAAGGTAAAGGAGAATGGAAAAAATGCAAAAAATTGCTAGTATGATTCTACATTGTTGCAGCCTCAATTTTTACATTTCTAAATTCCTTTTTGCGAAAACAGCAGAAACACTCCAACAACCAAAAGCTTGCCTTGTCGTGAATTTTGGTACCAAAGCTTAAGCAAAGGTCCTGCTTGGAATGATGATCTGGAAAAAAATAAAGTTTTGCAAAGTGCTGTAGTGGATTACAGACTCTCACCCTCAGCAGAGTGTGTGATTGCCTGCCACTCATCGTGCTTCGAAAATTTATGGTCAAAAAATATACGAAAAACACAAATCTTAGAGTTCAAATTCAACAAGATGTCCAAAAAACCTCCAAATTTGGAGGTTGTCCAGACAAATTTGTAACCGCACAATCTCCTCTTTCATCTGTAGATCAATTGTTAATCCACTCATTTTTGGAATTATAGCGCTGGAGACCGGGGGGCACGGCCCGGATGAGTTCGTATCAAGGCTTTTTGAAAACGAAGTCTTCCTTGACTTTCGCGAAATTTTACGAAGTTCCTTTCGACTCTCAGCCCCAAACGTAAAAACCCACAAAAAACGAAACGTCGGTTAAAAAACCGTCAATTTTTGATCACAAAAATGATATCTTCTTTGCTTTTTCGCCTCAAAAACAAAGTCCAGCCTGCTTTCATATTAGCTGTGCCAGCCCTGACCGGGGACCTAACAACTTATTAAAATCTTGCTGCACTTTAGCAGCTCTAACACACTCACTTATAAAGTGCAAAATAGCCTATCCAATCTTCATCGCGTAACATGCCAATAATCTACCTGGTTTATGTACGTCTGGTAACAAGTTTTTCTTCTCCAGCCTCTCAAAAAATCCAGATTTCCATTTACGACTTCAAATTTCCCCCATAAACAGTTTGAATTGCCGATGGCGCGATGGCGCAACCAACGCAATTCTTAATATCTTGCTCGCTTGCGAATGCATCAATTCGCTGAGAAGACAGCGAATTGAACAGAAGACTGATTAAGATACGCAAAAAGGTCAGGCTAGAACAATCCCCCTTCCGCTGGGCAACACAACAACGTTCTCTTCGAATGAATCTGATTACGAATTGTCCTTTCTGCAAAATTTGGCAGTGACGTTTTGCACCAAGTGCCATTCTGTGATTGCGATAAATTCCTCTACGTACACTTATAGTACATCACGAATACTCTGAAACATCAGCCAGACACGCTCAGGTGCGCAGGTTACCAATCTCAGCCCGAAATTTACGAAATTATAATTTCAACAATTTTTACGAGTAGCTAAATATCGACTGAAGAGGTTATTCTATGTAAAGCTAAACCATTTACTGCGAAATAAGAGGCCGCTTCATTATGATCGATTGGTCAAAGGTTCTTAGAGTTAGTGGGTTTAATTAAGAAATAGTGAGTTTACAGTAAAAATTTGAGGTTAGGAATGCAATTTTAAATAAGAAATAATCACTCATTCTCAATGATTTCTATTTTCTTTGGTACATTTTCACAAATCCAAGTGAATATAAAAAAATGTGGAAAGGAAACTAAGTTGAATTCCTAGATGCAGTTCTAGGAAAAGAAGTTCTGATGCAGTCACTTGCCTAAATTTTCGCCTCGCTCATTTCCAACTTCACTTATAAAAATGCGAAAACAGCTAATCACAAAATCCAAGCAGGTCCGCTCTCCCGTCCCCCCCCCTTTCGCTCTGGTTCAAAGCCGCTTAGCGAAACTCAAATAAAACAGCGTAATTACAACATTTCAGACGGTCCTTCCTCGTTCTTCTATGGAGGGGAAAAGCCAGAACTAAATCACAGCTAAACAGGGCTCTAAACTTGACTTCATGCATACACTCATCTGAAAACCTCTTATGAAGTGGGGAAATGATGGGGCTGTTATCCTTGGTTGTTATCCTCCTCGAACTTCTATAATGAGTAAATGGTCGAGAAGAGGCTGACGACAAGGTCAGATGTCAGTAGAAATTAAAAATGTTCATTGATGAGTGTAAAATACTACAATCGTGCTAAACATCTGCTCAATTCCTTATTTCGATGTTCCCTGTCTTGTATTTTAGCTTGAGAATTCACAAACGAATAAGCTATCTCTCAAAAATAACTTATTATTTTTATTATTTTTTGACACTGAATTTTCTCTTCTGATTGCCTGCAACCTCCAAGCTGTGGTGTATTTTTTGTAGTAGATAAAGTGCAATTTCTTCTGAATATCTGCAGTAATACAGACCGATTCATCTTATCTTCAGCCTCCTTTGACACCTACGTGCGATTTATGCTCTGGCAGAAGATCTCCATTAGAAACCAGCCGCTATGTTATCAATAAAAATAGCAGGAACTTCGTCTTGCTTATTTGTGTGACGCAGTTTCTCACATTTTCTTGCTAAAACGCACCCGATATACCTGTGTAATCCGCATCCTTCGATTATTTGTGCGATTATTTGCTTAAAAGTGATTGATTATGAGATATAGTACACATGCCGTATGAAATACTTAGTCAACAAAAATTAAGAGCCAATATAAAAAATTGTTTTTCAGTTACTAATTTCCATAACTCACGAAATGAAAAAAGAACTAGAAAGTCTACAATCTAGCAAAAACATGAGCCCATACTCTAACACTTCCGCTATCCAACAGAAAGCGATCTTGTCAAGCAAACTGCACTTCAAAAAATAGCCTCAAGTGGATTTTGAACTTTTACTACTAAGATTCTAAACGTACTTCATAAGAATTTCGCTCAGCGCGGACCTCATTCTTTGAAAAATATTAGAACACTTGCGCAGTACAGCGCATCAAAGATATATACTAGACTGATGCATAATTCTTGCACCAAAATTTTCTGGATTTCCATCACTTTCTCCAACTCAAATGAACTTCTGATTGTTATGTACTAGAGGATGGAAATCTTGCAAGAACGCATTCATCAAAATTTTTTGATGGCATGTGAGAACGATATAAGGTGATCAATAGAATTACTCAAAAAGTGATTATTCGAATTTTTGACGCTAAAATTGCTACAACGTCCTTTAAAGTTCAAAAATATATTAATTCTATGACCCATTTTTCTTTAATTAAGTGAGATTGATAGTGATTGGATGTCTCAAAGAGTAGTTACGACTTTTGTTTTTGACCTATCTTTTTGTCTCGAATTGATTTTCTGAAATATACTTCAAAATATAGCTTATATACATAATATAACAACGACCATGTCGTACAAATTAATTTGTTTGTTTAGACATTTTTGAGATGATTTTTTAAATATTTGTTGATGCAAGGACTGTGCATCAACTTAATATTTTCTATTTCTTGAGATTCTGAAAAGATGAGTAATACTGACTTTTGTCTGATGTGATTCTTTAGGGAAGCCTTTTTTCGTTTCACTTAAGAACAAGACCGGGAAGTTTGATATTATTCTGTCAATGTTTCGCTAGAATTTGTGTGAATGGATGCAGATCTTTTGACAAAAAACGAGCAAATCTAAGGCGCGTGAAATCTCACATCTCTAAAGCAGAACGCGACATTTGTCACTTGTCGTCATGCGGAGTATAGATGTGGAAAAAAACGAAGAACATCTATTATGTCGAGGGAAAAGATATCCGCGCACAACTCTTCCTTCATCCTTTTCGCTTTCCGAACCGAATGATGATGTCGCGTGTCCAGCTTGTATGATTGTTGATGGGTTTATACACCGGTACACGGATAAGATAGCCCACCCCAAAACCAGGCAATTGGAACGCCGTGCGAGTGGAGTATTTACGGAATAAATCACATCAGGAAAGTAGAAGAAGAATTGCAGCGGCGAAGCAAAAGCAAGGCTTGTTCAACTAATGAAATTCACCAGAGCCGTTGAAGGTGAAATGAGATAAGCAGGAAAAAATTCAGGCAGGATCTGTTTTTTATCTTGTTGTGGAAAAGTGGGTAGGAAAGTGAGAAAAAGGTGATTGACGATTTCATCGTCAAAATTTAGTACACCCATTTAAAACTATTTCTCAATGTCAGTTGTCAAGTAAGACATTCAGTTATTAACATTAGATTGATACATAAACCTCGCATCAAAATTTGGAAAATACAAAATCCTCACCAACCTTTAGTGAAATTTTTGCATCTCAAAAAAACTTCTGAACGCAAAATACGTTATTGCTATCTCGCACTGCTGCAAGCTGATAGAAAAAAAACGGAAAACTCTATCGAATGACCGCTTCAGTTTTGCTTCTGATTTTATGACTTGCTTTTTCTGTCTGAAAGCTGATCGGACGTTCTATGAATAATTATAATTTTTGAATTTTCTTGATATCTTTTTGTTTTTGAGTCGAAGAGTCTTTATGTTTGTGATGAGTTGAACTTTCAATATAAACGAAATATATATGATGTGCTTTGAAATTATTTGAACATTTTCAAAACAAAACCTTTGCACTCAGCAAGATTTACCTGTCAACCTCATATCTATTGGATATACATTCTGTTTATCTTTTGCGACGAGAACTCCGACAAAGCGAGTGCATGATGGCCGTCGCGATAGGTTCTTGATGCCCAGATACGTTACTCACCCTTCACCCAGCCCTGTCCTTGGCTAGGTCGATAACTGGAATAACTAAAATGGCGGTCGCTTGCCGCTAGCCATGATCTCTCTCCAAATAGCTTCGAGGGTTTCTCTTTCGCTCCAGCCGTTTAATGGGTGTGTGTTTCGCATAGTCAGGCGGAGAGGTAATAGTGATAAATTGCACTATTCTCATACTTGGCACGGCATGTGTGTGTCGTTGTAAAAATCCGCGAAGTTCGCCCCCTACAAGGACCGGTAAACCGATGTGAGAGGCGGGGCCTGGGGGCGCATGTATAAAACCAGCCCGAGGCCATTTCCGAGATATCGCCATGTATTCCTCCGATAGCGGCGACGAGAAGAAACTGTGGCATGAGGCGGAAAGTCTACGTCGCATCGCCTTTTTTGGCATCTGTATCAGGTAATGTCAATAATAATTATAACGGTTCTTTCTTTCGCAGTTTTATTACCTTCTTTTCTTTACTTTTATTCCAATTTTTGCCATTTTGCAGTACCGTCGCTACGCTGACGGCTATCGTCGCCATCCCTTCCCTTTACAACTACATGCAACATGTACAGTCCTCACTGCAAACAGAAGTTGAATTCTGCAAACACCGAACGAATGGTCTCTTCGACCAGTACGAGCGTATGCAGCGAGTAAAGGGAGTTCGAGGAGGAATCGTGAAGCGTCAAGCCGGATACGACACTGGAGATGCCGGTGTCTCAGCCGACGTTACTGAGCAAGCACCAACTTGCTGCAGTTGCAAGTCCGGACTGGCTGGACCACCTGGTCCACCAGGTATAGACGGACCCGATGGTAAAGACGGTCTGCCAGGAGCTAATGGGGAACCTGGTGCCGACGCCGCACCAGATGCAGTACCTACTGCCGATGACTTCTGCTTTGACTGCCCCGCAGGACCACCAGGACCTGCTGGAAATCCAGGACCCAAGGGCCCACCCGGAAACCCAGGAGCTGACGGTCTACCAGGTCCAGACGGGCAACCAGGTCAACCTGGACCACCAGGACCTCAAGGACCACCTGGACCTGACGGACAACCTGGACAACCTGGAGAACAAGGTCCACCCGGTATTGTTGAAGAAGTACCAGTTCCCGACGGCCCAGCCGGACCTCCAGGACCACCCGGACCACCAGGACCAGATGGACAACCAGGAGCACCAGGTCAACCAGGACAAGACGGACCTCAAGGACCTCCGGGAGATCCAGGACGAGATGGACCACCAGGAAACCCAGGAGCTCCAGGAGAACAAGGTCCTCTGGGAGAGAGTGGAGCTGGAGGAAGCTGTGATCACTGCCCACCACCACGAACTGCTCCTGGATATTAAGTACAACGTCGTCGCCAGTGCTTTCATGTATATTGCTGTTTTCACATGACCTCATTGACTATTATGAAAATCATAAAGATTTTATTACTGCTCATCTTACTTTACTTCCCAACAGAATCAGCTATCAAATGTGTTTCAAGGTTTCTGTGATTTTCAAAGAGCTTCTGAGATTCTTCTAGCCGACGTTTATCCCATCAGAGTTGGAGAGCTTTAATCGTCTTCTTGAGCGTTTATTTCTTACGGTGACTTCTATCTTTTACATGCAAATGGGGAGAGGATGTCCTTAACGATTAATCGCCGTTAACTAGACTCATTATACGTGCATAAAACTTGGCGCCTGATCCCATTCTCAAATGCTATGACAAAAACGTTTAATAGCGTCGGCAGAGATTCAGAATGCTGTTCCAAGTCAACCGGACTTCTCATTCGAACACTGGGCAGCACATTCCATGTGTGAACCTCGTCGTCGCTCCGGGAGAACTCGTCTCCGGGGGTGGGGTTGGCAGTTATTGTCACAAATGTTAGATCAAATGCTTAACTCTTGAGTGAGGTCCTAGATGGAATTTCAGAATGGTTATCCTCATAAGTCATCTCTCTCATTCCATTCCCCGAATCTGCACTTCAGCGAAGTTTGCTTCTCAGACTAGTATCGGCTTCTATCGACAGAGCGAATGCAGATGTCGTAAAGCCTTAATAGAATCCATGTTTGGTGACCGTTTGGCGTTTTCTCGCAAAAACTCATTGTTTGTGTTTGATGATACTTTCATGATCCGGTTGCTGATGATGCAGAACCACACACACCCCATCGTAAGGGAACCCCCTAAACCGGATTTATTCAGATAAGGTCATGCACGGCGATTTGTTTTTTGCAAAAACTCGCTTTTTTCAAGACAAACTGACCATAGAACTTTTTGATCTTTGATATTTTCTATGAGATGTTTTTTCTTCATTTAAATAAAAGAAAACCCAGCTCCGTCCTATGCTTCAGAGATTAGACGAATTTTATCAACGTAAACACATACAGGAAGTTTTGATGCTGTTTGGAATTCTTGCTTATTGCAATCACTATCATTTACAGTATATTCGACTCTCAAATCTCTAATAAAAATTTTTCCTTAAAATTGAATACCAGCAGGATCAGGAGTATTTTGTTGTTATGCCCACTGATTGATAATGAGCCAAGATTGAAAAATCGGTACAAAACATATTATTTACAGCAAGGGATACATAACATTTTACTTAAAGTCTCGGGGCACAGAATATAATATCGCTGACAGATGCCGTAATCAGAGGACAACTGGTATAAACTTATTACCATTGTGTGAGCTGTATCAGTAGCCCGATCATGCAAATCTTGTTGGGCCTCTCCCTTCTGTCCCAAATTACTTTGGATCAGCGCCTAGAAGTCTTCTTCATAATAAGGACCCATACTTTACGATACTACTGAGCTGAAAATTTTTAAAGAACTGTTATGCCTCAAAGTTTGAAGAAATAAGTTCATAGGAATTGAAAGGTTAGGTTAGCTTTGGCGTTTAATTTTAACATTTAGGAAATGCCAAACCGCTCAACATCCAGAATTCCCAGTCGAAAGTGCAGTTTTATAAATTTCTTTTGTTCATCCAAGGAGCTAAATTTCAGAGAAAATACTGCCCTTTTATTACTTTCCTAATAAAGAATCCATAAATTCGATAAGGCTACATAGAAGTACAACCATTACCACCTCTCGACGATGTGAAAAACACATTACATTCAGAACAGTACTTATGCAGTACTTAGCATCCTTGAAGAATTCGATTGTAAATTATCGAATAATCGAGGCAATTTTCTTCTTTACTTTACAGGTGCTTGCGAAAACCTTAAGTTTGAGGATAACCATGAAAACAAAAAGAACATACCGACCGGCAACCGCCAACGCGACGCTACCATGAATATCAATTATATGAGTGAAAACTCGTTCTAGGCTCATCTCCTCGTCAGCAAACTATCATTATTCTAATTAATGAGCCAAAAATCGCCAACTGTGATAATCGCGTGTGTCATCAATGTTCGGACTGGGAGAGATGTCAGTCTGAGTGCATAGCTTCATATGAGTCACTGCGAATGTTAGCGCGGATGAAAGCATGTAATTTCAAATACTATTAAAATTTTGGTAGCTCTAAATCAGACGTATTACTGTCATGAGAGAGATAGCGCCGAAGTTTTTGAAAAAAAAGAGAGTAAAAATAGAGATAATGAATGAAGATGGCTTTCATCAATTGTTGTGCAAGTAATACTTCCTGAAAGATAACAACCTCGCTTCAATATTCGCCAAAACAACATTATTTCATAACGAGTTATTGTAGGCACTTTACAAATCTAGTCTAAGTGGACAACCACGTGCGATTAGCATCAGGGACTAATGAATTTTCAAATGTGAATGTAGATCTTTCTTCATTTTTTATTCCATCAACAAGTCAACAAAATTCTCAACTCATTTTATGATATCTGGATCTATTCCACCACAACTGTGAAGACTCCGCTAAATATTAAAACGATATATATGTTTTGCCTTCTAGTTGGTGTTTGGATATGTATAGGCTGTATGCGTGTGAGGCTGATCCAAATACCATTCATTCTAGGACTAGGAGACGCGGGACCGCATTGCACACATTGTCTTAACAGGCTTAAACGTGTACTCGGCAGGTTTATACTTGTTACTTATCTCGTCCATGTTTATTCAATCTTTGGAAACAGGGACGAACAAACTCAATTGTTAAGAGAATGCCCGTAATGCGATCTCGCGTCTCCTAGTCGTAGAATAGATAATAGATCAATGAAACTTTGTAGGTTGCCTTACTTCTTATTGAATCTTATATATAAAGCTGAATGTCTGTTTCTATGTATGTATGTCTGTCTGTCTGTCTGTACGTATGTTCCGAATAGAAAATTCCATTTCTGAACCGATCGGGACCAAACTTGGCACACATACACTTCGGGCCCCGGCGGGTGTCATAGGCTACTTTTCGTATCGATCGGTATCGATTTTATCGATTTTTTGCAAAATTTGAGCTACGGGGCTGGGAGTTGGCACAGGGGGGTAAGTGAGCATGGGGATTCCGGATACAATATTAGTTTTTAAAATCGTGCATTACTTGAATCGATTTTATCGATTTTTTTGCGAAGTTTGAGCTATGGGGCTGGGATTTGGCACAGGGAGGTAATCGAGCATGCTGATCATCCCCTTGGGGGTGATCAGCATGCTCGATTACACCCCTCTGCCAACTCCCAGCCCCGTAGCTCAAATTTTGCAAAAAAAAACGATAAAATCGACATCGATCGATAACGAAAAGTGGACTGTGACACCCGCCGGGGCCCGAAGGGTATGTGTGCCAAGTTTGGTCCCGATCGGTTCAGAAATGGAATTTTCTATTCGGAACATACGGCGGAGCCGGGTAAGCCAGCTAGTCTAACAATAAGCTAGATGCACGCTAGCTTTGGTTAAAGAGGCATGAAAAAATATGAATATTTTGCTCTGTATTGGTGTAGGAATCATTGTGCGAAATGCTTAACGTCGAGTCATTTGTAACTTAATGTGTGAGACTGCACACTATACCCTATTAGCGACGGCACCCACACTTGTAACTTCCCAGTAAAACATTTTCTAGTCCAACAAAGTGTAGAAATGTGTTCTGCTAACTAACATGTAACCAATAAAAACAAGAGAAGTAAGGAATGAAGGAGAAATTACAGGAAATGAGCATGTTCTATTTTTGCAGTTCGTCAGTTAGCGTGTAGAATGTGCACTAAGCATATTAAGTTACAAATGAATCGACGATAAGTTGTCTCAAACTGATACAACAATCATCGTAATGGTATCACTTTATAAATTGCAACACTCAGACAATCTCCAGAAAATTCTGAAAAGAGCGTAAGGTCGGAAAGGCTCGTATAATTTTCAGATTTTGCATCTCACAAGGGAATGGTCAGAAGTCGAAGTGGCCAAACCAAACAAGCTGTATATCATTCGATACAGTATAGAGCGCTGACTTTGAATCTGTCTTCCTTGCCTGCTTATCGCTTCTGCGGACAAAACTACAAGCGGTTTTATTGTGAAAAAATCGTACATAAAAACAGCGATATTGAGCACATTGTTGCGCTTCTAGCTCAGATTCTGACTTTAAAAATTTGAAGTAAGCTAGCTGCATGTTTTGGCACAGCATTAAGGCGAACGTGGCTCTGTACGGCTAAGTTTTCAATTTCACGCATAATTTCTTAGCAAAATAACGGTCTCTAATGGCTTATAGTTTCGTCCAGAAAAGCGATAAGCAGGTAGGGAAGACAGATTCAGAGTCAGCGGTTCATGCTACATCTAATGGTGTGCAGCTTGTCTGGATTGGCCACTTCGATTTCTGACCATTCCCTTGTCAGTGTTTTCTAGTGAAGAAAAAATGGTAAAGTGCAATTTTGTCCACATCTGCATGAAAGGTTGTAATCAGTATCTATTAAAGCTCGATATTAACTATCTTCTTAGTATCTACGGTTCCTTCTGCGTTCATTTTCTGCAAAGCAGCGAAAGCAGCTGCCTCCTTCTTTTCTTTCTTCGCATTTCTTCTTTCGTAATCTAGTCTGGAAAAAAGAAAAAGGAACAGAGTACTAGCAGAGTAGAAGCTAAAAAGGAGAAGAACTGAGAATGGACCACAAAAGCTTGCTCATACTGCATCTCCCTCCGTCCATCTCTCCCCCCCCCCCTCCCTCCCTCCCCTCCGCTCTCTCTCCCTCTCGCCGCCATACGCCTGAGGGCAGATACCGGAAAACTGTCGATAGAGATGTTCCTAATGTTCATAAACGAAAGAACATACTATGTGTGAGCAATTTTTCAGCCTAAACCATTTGGAAGTTTCAATGCAAGGTAAATCAATTAGAATCCCTCCAACTATGATAAGTCATCCATCCATAAAAGTGAAAGCAGTTTGAGTGACTGCGTCACAGAAAAATTTAACAAAAGAAAACTTGGCTATCACGACATACAATACCACCCGTAATTTGTGAAAAAAATTGGCGGCAGCACTTAACTCACGCGGCGCCACCTAACTGCGGCGGCGCCGCGTGAGTTAAGTGCTGCCGCCAATTTTTTTCACAAATTACGGGTGGTAATGTAGTCACTCTATGTTGTGACGGCCGAGGGGTTTACTACGGGCGCAGCGGCGAAGAATGGGATGATCCGCATGCAAAAGATTTGAACCTTGAAAGATCATAAGCTTCACATGCAAAGTCAAGTACTTACAAAATCTCCACAACTGTAGTGAGACTGTTACGCATTGCGTCTGACAAACTCAAAGGCCGGGCAACAGATCTTTGCACTACGTTACCTGTGCTCAATTATTCGCCCAATGATTTTTTCCGTTGTCATATCGCTGCCGGAATCCACCTCACGATAAATCCCTGAACGTAATATAGAATCCTCGGCGAGGAGTTTTGACAAAGTAAAAGTGAGAAATTATCATTAGACACCTCTTCTTTTTGGTGCTTCGAATGGATCTCTTCCTGAAGTATCGTAATGAGGTTCGCGGCATCCTTGACACACCACCCAAAAATCATTTTTCAGTGTTTGTAGAAATTTGCAATAATCTTACCGATATATTAAATTGCTGAATGATATCGTCGGATACGCAATAGGGAACACCAATCATGACCTCGTTGACAGGCTGAACAAATGTAAACATACGCAAAGCTAACATAACTGAAAGGAGACAAAAAGAAGCACCTTGAAGGCCAAAACAGTGAGCACTCTTTCGTGCAGGGACATTATTGGATAATTGCTTCCTTTGACCTTGTTAACCACCTCAATAGCAAAAAATTAAATGTATCCACAATTTCACATTAGACAGTACTTGATCACTGAGTATGCCAACAATTAAGTAGTCGCCAAGTTTCGCTGCCTCCTCCAAGAATGACAGATGACCAACGTGAAACAGATCGAAGGCTCCGCACACATATACTATCTTAAGGATGACTCGCCAAAGTTAAAAAGAAAAAGTCTTATTTGATGAAAGCCCTACTTGCGAAGATACGGATCACTTCTATAAAGTTTCTAGTTCATACCTTGTCTGTCGGTTTAGGCGGTATACCTTCGGCAAATTGAGAAATAGTCTTAGTAGACGCCACAAAGCGTGAGACGCGCGTCCAAGGCGACACAGCCACGCGGTCCTAAAATTAGAGCATCTTTTTTGTCTGTCACAACGAATCCATTGCTGTAATTCCTCAACTTGTGCATTCCAAAAGCTTTACAAAGAGCTTTACGAAACGATATTTGTCAACAATTCAAGCAATAACTTATTGCACTTTCATTTTGAACGCAAAGGTAAGTCTCAAAGCGTCTTTAAAGGCACCGTCCACTAAATTTTCGACTTCCACGTTTTTGTCGTTTCAGGGCCTTCTCATGTCCCTGATTCCGAATATAAAGTCGAGAATCCGCGAAAACCCCGAAAATCCCTGTTCCGGAGAATCAACAGGCCGGCTTTCCAGAACGATGATTGGATGAGCGCGCACAAATGGGCGGGCATGGATGGGGAAGGCGGGCATGGATGGGGGTCCTCGTGCATCTTCGCTATTCCGAAGCGATTTTCTCGCTTTCGAAGCGGCATTTTGCGCCGCAACTTGGGCATTGGATTGACAGGGGGTCTAATATTACATGCTGTCAAAAGCTCAACACCCTCAACTTAGGGTGGACGGTGCCTTTAACACGTTTGGGACCGGGATCGCACATGGTGCAGCAAGCTCTTTGAAGGATGTTTTCAACGACTACAGGAGGATTTCTTTTGGTCCAAAATTACCAAGTCAGAGACCTAAGTTCCTATTCCCCCTCCTCCCCCCCCCCTCTCGAACATAAATCCTGGGACTGTCACTACATGAAGTCTAAGTGATTAGGATGTGAAAAGAATATGACTTATTGCGGTTTTGGCCTGTTGCAAAATCCACTCAACTTCAGATTATCAAAAGCAAAAAAGCACAGAGGGCTTGGTTTCGAAGGAAGAAAAGCCGTATGGGTTCAGGCAGCAAGATATTGTCGTTGAGAAATTTCTAGGAGTCAGTGTTTAATTATACAGAAACATGCTTGAAAATTCACTTCCCTTTACTTTACAAAACCATACTTCTGCCCCTAAAAGCAAAAAAGCACAGAGAGCTTGGTCTCGAATGAAGAAACGACTTATGGGCTTAGGCAGCAGGATACTTTCGCTGAGAAATCTAGATGTCAATGTTTACTTATACAAAGGCTTGTTTGAAATTCACTTCTGACTCTTCTACTTTTCAAAAATACCTCTGCCCATGCAGGCAGAAAAGCACAGAGTGCTTGGGTTCGAAGGAAAACTAGACCTAGGACTTCATGCGCCAGGACGGTTTGCTAAGATTGGCCCTGAAAAGAAAACGTTCAGCCAGCTTTAGTCTCGTTCTAAAAAATGAGTCCGTTTATTGGTAAGACAACATCGAAAAGAATTCGTTCGGAAATAGTTCTGTGAAATTTTGTAAAAGCTTGGTTTTATCGAATAGCTGGGTTTTTCTGCAGTTGGAAGAAGGAACTTGACGCTTTTTAGGGTGTGGCTCTGCTGCTGGAAATCAGCCTGAGTTTTAGGTTGAATCGGCTGTTCTAAAAAGCTATCGGAGGTGATTTCCTTGTTTAGGAGCTGTGATAGCTGGGCTAGAATATCTGCAAGAGAAACAGGAAAGATGCTTTGCAGAGCATGAGCTCGGCATGAAGTTAGCATATAGACATCGGTAAACGTGTCGCGTCTCGCGATGCAAGGCGCTCCTCGAAGTACGGAGGCCGGGGGCATCGGTTACCGCGCTATCCGGCGACGATTACGGTAGCCGAGACGCGTGTTGCCGCGATCGTCTCCGGACCTCTCCTTAATTGGCTCGTTGCCAGCCAGGCGGCTATATAAAGCGGCGGCGCCTCACTTGGGTGTCTTGTTCGCCTTCGTCTTATTGATTGATTTTGAATATCTTGTTCGAATTATGTTTCAGCCGCTTTGCTCCTGTCCTTTTTCGTAAGAGCAGTTGAGCCGGATGTTCTTTGAATTGGAAAGTAGATTCCTTTTTGTCAGCGCAAGTCCACGCGCCTAGTACTAACCGGAAATCATCTACAGGAGCTGGAGGGGACGTGCTGTCGTCTACACCTTGGCGTTGCGCGGTGGATTTGTTGCGCGAAACCTCGAGAGCCACTTGCATTTTAGATTACTTCCCAGACGCGCATCGGTAGCATGGGACGGGCCCTCGTCCCGTGCTTAACTGTGTAGTAGTAGTAATTTGTTTTTTGCCTTAGTTTAGTATTTTTGTCTATTTTTAATTGTAGTGTAGTGCCATAAGGATAAATCACTTAAATTATCCCATGTTCCTTTGGTCGCGCGTTAGGTGCGCATTAGGCTAGGTACGTCGCTTAGTATCGGGCGAGCATCAGGCCTCGGGTTACATCTAGGTGCAAGAGCCCACCGAGTCGCCACAAAACGGCTTCGCCTTTGCCACTATCAATTTCAACGATTTCCTCCTTGATCACGACGGCTGCGTAGGTTAATCGAGTGGAGAGCTCGCTCTTCCTCCAGGGTACCGGCGTGTTGCTATTCCGGATATAACAAGAAGGAGAAGAGGGGTTTTGGAACCAAAGTGTTACTACATACTAACTTCAGGCGTGGAATAAAATTACGTAAAAATTTTGAAAAATTTTCATACTTTGTTTCTTAGTCCGACTGCGCGTATAGAAACCAAATTTCGTGCCATATTGGCATCTGTGCGTTGCAAACGAGCAATTTTTTTTGATAGTACGAAATTTTTAGAAAAAAGCTCCATAACCTTCATTCACACCATTATTCAATGAAACTTCTCGGCTAGTTCTTACAGGCCATGCATGTGCCAAGTTTTATGCCATACTGTCACCTGTGCATTGCAAACGAGCCATTTAATTCACATCTTCGCTCTCCAATTATGAGAAACCTAGCAAAAACGCTGAATACTTCTTCCATTTACAGTCTGCCCCAATCGGGATCGGGCCGAACCGTCAGCTGAATTTGCGCGTTCGCAGCGCTAGGGGTTTGCGCTGCATACGCGCGCTGTCGCAGAGAGCGAAAAGATTGAGGAGAGAGCAGACTAGCTAGACGCAGAAGTGGCGCGAAACACTCACGACGCGCATTCCCGCCAAGCCAATTTTGGCCTGGTTAGAATTGGTGCAGACTGTACATGAGTTTTTCTCAATTTTTTATGTCTTGTCCCTACTTGCCATGTTCATTCATCCATTCAATTTGGTACCATATTGTTACGAATACATTGAGAACTGTAGATATACGCCGCGTACGCTCCTATGATGAAATATACCGAGCGTACGCTGCGTACGTCATGTACGCCCGTACGCCGCGTACTCTGGCTCAACCCAGACAGACAAACATACATGCAGACAAACAGACTTTCAGCTTTATACAGGGTGTCCCAAAAAGATGTGCACACTGTTTGATTGTTAATAACTTTCTTGCTTTTATGGCTTTTGCCGAGCTTGAGGTACCATTCTGTAGAGCGAGGATAAACTTAGATTTACAGTATGGAGGGACTTACGAGCAGCTTTTCATTACTGTAGAATTACGGTAGGAATTTCGAGGAGGATTTTCAGCATTGGAAAGCTGTATTTTGCCTCAGAAAAAAGCCAAATAAGCCAGAAACTCTTGAACTGGGTTAATCATAGTCGCTGATTCTAAATGTGAAAACTGCACGTCAGTACAATGTTTCTTTCATGAGTTAATTCAGATTTAGGGTAACAACTGATTTTCCAGTGTTCAGCAGAAATGTGAATACGCCATCAAGAAAGCTCGAAAAACTGATGGAAAGTTATGTAGTGAAATATGCACGCCTGAAAACCTTGCTACACAATTTTTTAGATTTTTTTGAAATTATTTAATCAAAAGGCTTATCCCACAGTGATGCTGTATGCTAAAAGTTCATACCGTAATCCTACAGTGGCAAAAAGAGATTGGAGTTTCGCTTAATACTGTAAATCTAAGTTTATCCTCGCTCTACAAAATGATACTTCAAGCTCGGCAAAAGACATGAAAGCAAGAGAGTTATTAACGATCAAACAGTGTGCACATCTTTTTGGGACACTCTGTATATAAGATTTTTGCTGTCAGCGTCAAAAATTTCATCACTTTTTTGAAAACCATATAACACTCAACGGAAGCGTACGGATTTATTGATACTCGGTGAAAAGCTCCTCGAAAGACTTCATTACAACAGAGTTATCAAAAATCAAACAGTAGGCACCTTTTTTGGGACACCCTGTATATGCTGTCTGCGTTCAACTAACAAAAGAACGATACTCGATGTCTGCGGCCTTGTGAGATGTATACCATTACATTTCTTGGAACGCTGATTCCGAATCTGACTTCCGTTTGTGCTAATCGTTTTTTAGAAAGAGGTTATGGAGAATTATTGCGCAAGCTTGGCCGCCCGAGAGAAATACGATAGGAACGCTATCATCGCCGTTACGCTGTTGTGTAGTGCTTAGAGTGCAATAACCTCACTGATGCAGGTGTAAGTTTGAAACCTTTTGCGTCTCTAAAGGCAGTGGATCAGCAGAATGGACCCTTCTCGAATTTTGGTTGATTCAGGTATTAGACCCCCAAGTACGCTGTAACCCGAACCCCACCTGCCAATTCATGCGCTAAGTCCTGAAAAAGGCGCTTCAAAACTGCACCAGCCCCGCTCACTCAATGGAAGGGGGCGGGGCTGGTGGAGTTCTGAAGCGCTTTTTTCAGGACTTAGCGCATGAATTGGCAGGTGGGGTTCGGGTTACAGCGTACTTGGGGGTCTAATACCTGAAACAACCAAACTTCGAGAAGGGTCCATTCTGCTGATCCACTGCCTTTGAAGACGCAAAAGGTCTAACCACTACACAACAGCGTAACGGCGATGATAGCGTTCCTATCGTATTTCCCTCGAGCGGTCAAGCTTGCGCAATAATTCTCCATAATCTCTTTCAGAGAAACGATTAGCACAAACGGAAGTCGGGTTCGGAATCAGCGTTCCAAGAAATGTAATGGTATACTCGCTAACTTCGCACGCGCGACGTTGTTTGACCGATGCAAACTGGTACAGCATACATGCGTCTGCGATAGGGTGAAAGAAAAAATGGCACGCTTACGGACCGACCCAGCACGTTGAGATAGTTAAGAAGTTTCTAAACCTTTAGACCATTGTGATATGAAGCTTTTCTAAGACTGCGCCGAGAGAGCTGTATGATTTGGATAAACAAATTGCTGCGGGGACGCATTCTCAGAGTCAGCGTCCAGGCAAATGGACATATAGGATCTCACGTGGACAGTAATTTCGGGACCTAACTAAGATACTGTTTAACTGGCAGCTCAGATGGTCCTCTAGCGGCTAAGCTAATCGCCTCCAAATTGGACCCAGGATCGTATTTCGCATAGATTCATAGCGCGACACATCCATCTCGTGTGGGTGCGTAAGCAAGCGAACACGATGCAAGTCGTCCGATTTCCTCGGCAACTTAACTTACGATCCTGTGGTCCGATATGGAGGCGTATATCTCAACTGTTGGTGAGTCATTTGCGCTGCCGCTTGGGCCGTGCCTTAGTTAGCCCCCCCCCCCCCAAAATACTTTCTCCATAAACCCTTAGGTCCAGATTTGCCTGGAAGCTGCCTTTAAGTTGCCGAGGGAAAATTGTGTTACTACAGCTACTCAGGATACCGGGTAGTAGCAGCGTCGGAAATTGGCTCCACTCAGCGCTCAACAAATTTCATAGCATATTACATGTTTATTAGGTTGTCCGGAAATTAATGCCCGCTTTGAATTTCAAACGCAATAAGTCATACACTTCTCAATTCTAGATAGGTTGCAAAGTACCATTCGATAGAGCAAAGCAAGCTCTACAAGAAGACCATCTTGCTTTTGCAAAAGCTCTCATCCATCTCGAGTTTTGAGCCAAAAACTAAAAAAAACTCAACAGCCCGAAAAATCAAAAAACATCGTAACTCAGTTCATGAGAATCCTACAAAAATTCTTACTTGCTCAAGGAAACCCTGTCCACATAAAACATCTATTTACGCCTTTGCCGTATTTTTTCCTCTATTAGAAATCAAGAAAACGGAAATTTTCGTGCATTTGCCAAAGTGATGCTGTGCCGTCCCCACATAGGTAGTTGTATACCACATGCTTGTGGAAGTACAGACTTAAATTTTCAGCTCTCTACAAGCTTTAGTTCTCGAGAAATACCGAATATAACTTCCCCTACTTAGGTGGTCGGAGCTAAAATTTAAATTTCTCAAGAACTAAAGCTTGTAGAGAGCTGAAAATTTAAGTCTGTACTTCTATAGGCATGTTATACAACTACCTATGTGGAGACGGCACAGCATCACTTTGGCAAATGTACGGAAATTTTCGTTTTCTTGATTTCTAACAGAAGAAAAAATACGGCAAAGGCGTATATAGATATTTTATGTCGATAGTGTTTCCGTGAGCAAGTAAGAATTTTTGTAGGATTTTTATGAACTGAGTTACGATTTTTTTTGATTTTTCGGGCTGTTGAGTCTTTTTAGTTTTTGGCTCGAAACTCGAGACGGATGGGAGCTTTTGCAAAAGTAAGATGGTCTTCTTGTAGAGGTTGCTTTGCTCTATCGAATGGTACTTTGCAACCTATCTAGAAGTGAGAAGTGTATGACTTATTGCGTTTGAAAATCAAAGCGGGCATTAATTTCCGGACAACCTAATAACACGTTGTGCTAGTCTGAACAGAGTAGCACGCGACATATTGTAATTTTGAAACCAACCGTGCTTAGTGTGTGAACTCGTTCACTATACTCATCCATCCCTTCCTCAGGTACATGATGAGATCTTGTCATTAGCAACATCCTTCCAACTATGTCCTGCGATTATCCTAAGAAATTATTGCGCAGCCATTTAGTATAGCTTACTTACAGTAGTTGATACACCTGCTGTACGTTTGCATTCTCGATAACGATTCGCTTTTTTTACTTCTTCAAAAGTGTCCTTTCCATCCGCAGAAATGGAGGGATCGTCTGAAAACAGTTGCAGATGAGGAAGGGTGATAAGCCTTTATTCGTTTTTACCTCCATGAACGCAGAAGTCACAGTTGTAGCGATCTAGAGTCTCAATACTTGTGGTCAAAGGAACGTTTTCAACGACCTAGAAAACAAAATATGGTGTCATAGGAAGCAGGACGTTCTTTGAGCTGAACATTCAGGCACATAAACATATTTCGCCTTTCACATAATTTATACAAGATAACCAAATCACTCTCTATGCCACGCACCGAATTATCGTCGTTGCGCAAAACTATGAACCAGTTGAAACTGCATGATGCTTGATTGGCTTTTTCGCTTTGAGCTTTTCGAAATGAAAAATTTTCTCACTTTTTTTTTATGATAAAATGTGTTAAAATTTCATTATGCACAGGGTATTGAGGAGCAGCATCCTGCAAGATCATTTCTTCCTTCTACCTAGCATTACAGAACGCTAATTCCAAACATGGGGCGTGGGCGCCAAACGTGGAAAACGATTTTTCAAAGCCCAAAATTTGACTTGGACGTGAGGACGCAGAGAACTTCAAAAATGTGGCACATAGTTGTAGTATGACCTTATGGTCATACCGGGTAAAATCGCGATTTCGCCGCAGTTCAAAATCGGTGGGTGGGCAGCACCTGGATCGATGGCGGAGTCGGAGCTGATTTCGGACTGAGTCTTAAGCTTGGTGAGTCCTTTTTTCGCTACGAACTATGATGGGCTTATTATCGCTTATCACGTACTATGATATCCTGCTAACACTGCTACATATGCGTGACTTTTGTAGCAGTTTAGCAGACCCTTTAAAGCCCTGCCTTCAAAAAGTTTGACCGATTTTGAAAACTACCATAGAAGCGTACTCACTTCGTCAACCCATTTAATTCCTTTCACCATTCGATATCGTTCTTGTTCATTGAAAACTGGTGGACCTTTGTTGAACAGTATCTGAAATGCTGTTTATTCAACACTCAGAGGCGCTAGAAATTTTGAACATCGCAAAGACTTATGATATCTCCATCTTACTTCAGCATCGCTGTGTACGCCAGCGACGAGTACCTTCCCAAACTGCTTAGCCTGACGAAGTGCGTTTGCATGTCCGAAATGTAGCACATCAAAGCTAAATGCATTTTACTGCAGAGAATCTTGTTATTTGGATTTTGTATGCCAAATGGCATCGCTGCGAACCAATATCTGTTGCCACAGCTTGCAATAAAATGGCGATCAATCAGAATTTTTTGGATTTGTCTCACAAGGAAAGGCATTCGTTTTGAATAATCTTTTCCATTGAGCTTTGAAGATTGAGAAGTACTTTAACACTGAATACAGGACTGCCCTCTTTATATCTGGGAAAGATTTGCTGCACGAGTGTTGAAGTTATCAGCTTATAATATTAGGTTGTCCGGAAATTAATGCAGGTTTTGAATTCTAACCGCAATAAGTCACACACTTCCCATTTCTAAGTAGGTTGCAAGGTATCGTTCGATAGAGCAAAGCAAGCTCTACCAGATGGCTATCTTGTTTTAGCAACAGCTCTGATCTACCACGAGGTTCGAGCTAAAGACTATAAACATTCAAGTGTCCGAAAAATTGAGAAAAATCGTAACTCAATTCATAAAAATCCTATAAAAATTCTAACTTGCTCCCGTAAACATAATCCACATAGAGCATCTATATACGCCGTTGCCGTATTTTTTTCTCTGGTGAAAATCAAGAAAACGGAGGTTTTCGTGCATTTGCCAAAGTGGTGCTGTGCCGTTCCCACAAAAGTAATTGTATTCTACAAGCGTTTACAAGTACAAACGTAAATTTCCAGCTCTCTACAAGCTTTAGTTCTCGAGAAATTTGAATTTTAGCTTGAACCACATGACTAGGGAAAACTGTATTCGATATTTCTCGAGAACTAAAGCTTGTAGAGAGCTGGAAATTTAAGTCTGTACTTCTACAGGCTTGTGGTATACAAATACCTATGTGAGGACGGCACAGCATCACTTTGGCAAATGCACGAAAATCTCCGTTTTCTTGATTTCTAGCAGAAAGAGAAATACGACAACGGCGTATATAAATGCTCTATGTGGATTATGTTTACGTGAGCAAGTTAGAATTTTTATAGGATTTTTATGAATTGAGTTACGATTTTTCTCAATTTTTCGGACACTTGAATGTTTATAGTCTTTAGCTCGAACCTCGTGGTAGATCAGAGCTGTTGCTAAAGCAAGATAGCCATCTGGTAGAGCTTGCTTTGCTCTATCGAACGGTACCTTGCAACCTACTTAGAAATGAGAAGTGTATGACTTACTGCGGTTGGAATTCAAAACCTGCATTAATTTCCGGGCAACCTAATACTTCAGGAAAAATCAGTTCATCGATTTCTGCCGTTTCTGACATATGACTCATCGGTGTCAACTTCCTCGTGATTTCTCGATCACCGACGGGTCTCATGGTCCAAAAGGTAGTCTCCTAATTAAAGCTAAACCTTAATGTCTGTAAACGTGTGCCAAACCATGCGGTTTCATCGTAAACTTGCAGTGTGTAGACGACCCATCGGTGGGTCGTATAGTTGTGACTCTGTTGAACTTCAAGGGCAAGTTCCATCGCCCTTACGCGAATGTGCACAGGAAATGCGTAAATGCAATATTACACTAGTAACTGTCTTGTACATCGCGGATATGTACAAGTCAGAACGAAGAGTTCAGAAGCTAGTCGGCCAGTTTAGCTTCCGAAAGCTACCAAACTATCTAATGTCATCTAAGCTTATACAAATACCTGTAGCCTTGTTCATTAAGGCATCATTAGATCGTACATTTGTCGACCTCCATTAAAATGCTTCCCTTAACAGCTAGGCAAGCAGATCAAAAAAAGGAGATGCGTCGTCTTCTAAATTCTCTGGCAAGAAAATCGTCACGTCGACTAGCTGCTAGTCATTTCTTTGCGAAATGATCTGTCCAAATATGAGTCAGCGCTCTATGTTTAACGCTGAAAATAGCTAATTCGACACTTGCAATTGCCCGCTCACCCCAAAATGATGCAAATTGTTAATGTTTTTTCTTAACTGCTTACCCGCAGTGATCGATTGCTTTCTCTCTATCAATAGCTTGAATAAAATTGGCGGAAGCAATAGGCTAGTATCTAGCCTTGATTTTAATACTAGTGAGAACATCTTTCTCCACTTTTTTCTAAATATGGCTTCGCAATTTTCACCCTTGCAATGATAGTGAGTCTTGCGCAGTATGCAACGCATATATCGTACCATTATCTAGAAATACGTTTCTAATGTCAATAAGGTTAAGATAGCCGTTTTGAGATAGTAATGCAATGGAAAGCGTACTCACCAGCCGTCTAACCACACGCGATTTCCTTTGGGGCCACCATCAGGTGCAATCTCATTATCTTCCAGCATACCGACTAGCAGGAAAAGGAATAATATAGATTCCAACTATGACTATGATGTCGTATCTTAGATCGCTCGAGCAGATGTGATTGGCGAAGCAGCGAAGCGGAGCAGCTGATGATTTGTCAATATAAACTTTTTTCTCAGAAAGAATGTTGGAGAAGAGTGGAGAATGTCGGACGATGACGAAGAACCTTCGAAAGATTGTCGAAGGAGACCGAAGTTTACAGGACAATGTTGGAAAATGTCGCGTGCCGAAGAATGCCGAGGAAAGTAGCAGGCTTACACGGCAACTGCCACAAACTTCATGGCTTGATGCAAGGCATAAGAGCAGGCCACACACAATCACAATCCAAATCTTTCCCTGCTCATGAGCTCGCTAAGCTAACGCGTTTTGAGCCGCTGGCAAAGCACTCTCTGAAAATGGCTTGAAACACAAAGCATAACTTAGGCTAAACGTTGCAGAAAGGGTTTTTTCAAAAGCATTGGAAAGTTCATTCACCAAAGATATTGGAAAGTAAGTGTAGGATCGAAGTTATTTTTTTCTCTAATTGTGTTCACTTTAGTTTAATTCATTCCAGGAAACTGCAGCATGTGTTACTAATATGGAAGGTCTGCCTCGCTGCTTTCACAAACTCTTACAAAAATTTTGAAAGAGCAAGTTTTGTGATGCACGGATATAAACCTTCGCATTAGATCCGCATACAACAGCAGTTTTAGCATAGTAGGACCCCCTGTCAAGCCAATGCCCAAATCGCGGCGCAAAATATCGCATCGCCTCCCCATCCATGCCCGCCCATCCGTGCGCGCCCATCCAATCACCGTTCTCGAAAGCCCTGTGGGTTCTCCGGAACAGGGATTGCTGGGGTTTTCGCGGATTCTCGACTTCAGATTTGGAATCAAGGAGATGAGAAGGCCCTAAAACGACAAAAACCTGAAAGTCAAAAATCTGTTCAGTTGAATCTGTATGAAGCAAGAAAGACGTATGAACTTCAACAGGTATTTTGCGAAGAAACTACAAAACAACAATGCACACTCAAATTTCGAAAAACCTTTTTTTGGCCTTCGCACAGGGCCTCAGACGCTTACGATACGCACGCACCGTGGCAGACTAGTTGACGTCCACATTTTCTCATACCTTCTAAACCAAGCGTTCCAGACTATTCACAATATAGTACGGAAAAGAGCAAGCCTTGCTTTACATGGCTGATCACAAAGAAGAGTCAGGGGCTTGAGTCGGTGATTAAAAGCACCTTAATCTAAGAAGAGTATTTGTGAGGTTCAACAAAAGCGTCATGTAGCTGCCAAGTTCTTGGAAACATCAAGAAAGCAGCATTATAGTGTATGCGGATTCTTCAAAATGATATTTCACTAATAACTGCAAAGCTTACAGCTAGAATTAGTAATTCAGATTAATTTCGTTGATATTTTCAGCTTTTTTGAGTTTTTGTTTCCAAGACCTTTTTGTTTTCATTGACACGTCAATACTCTAGGTGTTTGTACCTTAATCCTACGCTAATGAACAGAGCATATAGAATGAATCTAGCTTTGCACATTCCAATGTTTGGAAAGAGGTTCAATAGCAAAAGAGGTATAAACCCAAACAATGTCTCAAAGGCAGTGTCCCACCAGACTGAGGGTATCTGGCTCCCGTAGTCATGTAATAGCAGACCCCCTACCTAATCGATGTCTGAAGTTCGGAGCGAAAAAGGGGGTCTATCAAGCCTATTTGCTCCGAAAATGGGCCGAATCTTACGGTATGCTCGGGCGATTACGAGGTGGATGCAAGGTAAAGACGCAGAGTTGTTGCGGGTCCCTGCGCTCATGACTGTGTGCGCTATACGCACTCTGGCCTTGCAGTTCGAACTGATCTGTGCACGGCGTTTGGGCCTACCATGAGATTCGGGCCACTTTCGGAGCAAATTTTAGGCTTGGTAGACCCCTTTTTCGTTCCGAACTTCGGACATCGATTAGGTAGGGGGTCTACTATTACATGACCACGGGAGCCAGATACCCCCAATCTGGTGGGACACTGCCTTCAAGAATATAGCGTAAACGGTATGATTCTCCCGAGGATTATTGACAACTAAACGAAGAACTCGTATGCAAAATTCGATTGAAAAGCGGGGATTACTAACAAAGTTACTACGTTGGAAAGTTAGGCTTAAAGATTTTTGGGACACCCTGTATGTATGTTGGATTTGCATATGTTGAGGCGTTGACAAAAAGAAAAAGTAGATAGCAGTCTAGTTCCATTTTCACAAATTCACACAAACTATCCGGAACTTAAATGTTTTGGAAGCAGGTTCGAAGGACGAGCAACAATGGCTTGCGAATATTGGCTGTATCACGGATCAAAAGCACAGACGTGCATATATAAGAGTTTTTTATACAGGCTCAAGAGAGGCATCTTGACTGAGTGTATCGTGCATTTTGATAACTTCGATCTTTCTGCGGGTGCATTACGGCACTAGTGCTAATTTTCAAATCAGTTAAATTCAGATAATGTGAGCGTATAGATGAGTGACAGCGTGGCGATAGATTTCTAAAACATCAGAAGAAGCTATTGACAAGATTGCGGAATGTAAAGCTAATTCATAGGTTGAGGTGAATTGTTGATGAAGCTTACAGGCACTTACAGCTAAAGTCAATATTTTGTAAAATTACAAAAACAGACACATCGCTTTATCATCAAAGTGCTTTCAATAGCATTTGAACAAGAAGCAACGTCCGTTCATTTGCGTTCCTAGATAACAGAAGAAAAGATGTTTCAATGATTTGCAGTGCTTATCTTCTCTAGCATTATCGAGACATCGCTGTTTATAGAGTCTTACTATTTGGTTGAAAGCTCTGCTCTATCTCAAAGAAAAACTATTTCTTCTACAGAATTCTTTACACAAACCTTTATCGAAAAATATCACTATTTTCTTATTTGTATTTAGGGAGACAGTTAAAGACTATCGCGAATTACGGTTTAAACACTGGAAGGCGCCGCTCACTCAGTTGATGGTAGTGAGATTTTGAACCCCCTACAAAAGCTAGGCTCTTGAACAAGCAATTGGTCAAGTCCATTGCAAAAGGTGGGTACAAAAGGGAACTTGCATCAGAAAATAAAAAAGGCGCGTGACTCAGCCTACTTTATGCTGTCATCATATAGAAGGTTATAATTCCCAGAGATATCGCAAAGATTATATCAGGTCGTTTCGAAAGTATACCATTTATACTTTTAGCAAGAAATAGATCAAAGATAAACAAACACTTCTAGAGCTGTTTTAGAATTTTGCTAGTTTCTTTCGTAGTTGCATAGAATGAATTGCATACATTCGCCTTATTGACATTCACAGCTTATAAAATTACATCATAATTTTCACTACTCTAGGTTTCTGACAAGCCGTTATGAATTCAAAGCTATGAATTCGAAACTATGACTTCAAAACGTTTACTTTTAATTCGGAAACATTCCTTTTAGAGCCGCACGCATCAACACCCCGCTGGGGAGGAGATCCTATTTTTGCAAAATCTTTATATTCAAAAGCTCCAGTTATCTGGATATAACGCTGTCTATCTATTCTTGAGTATTCCTACAATCCTTCACTACAGATGTATTGAACAGGAACGAGAAGCTGTACAATTCGCATTTTCCAGCTTGTTTTATGATCACCTACTGTCCACGGCAGCTGTTCGTCTCGACCGTCTTTCCTTTAAGGGTCACTTTTCTTAATTTAAAGTTAGTGAAAACATTCTGAAGTTGTACTAGGGATTGATTAACTTAACAGCATTAAGCATACTGCTGTTAAGAACAAATGAGTTTTTTGAAAATTGAATTTTTTTGATAAGCCCCAGTTTTTGACTTGTCGAAAATCGAAAATCATCGAAAATTTCATGACCCCAATATATCCTTTGTTCTTATCAAAAACATGCCTAGCAGTTGAGTTAGATAATCAACACAACATTAAAATGGTTTCATTGACTACCGAGAATGAAAAATGACTTGAAAAAAAAAGACGGTCGGCCGCCGGCGATCATCAAGGATCATACAAAAGGCTGGAAAATGCGACTTGTACAGTCTCGCGATTCTGTACAATATGTTCTCAGTGAAGAATGGTGGGAATACTTAATGATAGTAGACAGCGTGAAATCCAGATATCTGGAGCTTCAGAATATGAAGCTTTCTTTTGAGCTGCGATCCCCTCCCCGTCGGAGATGTTAATGCATGCGGCGCTTAATGAAAGAGTCAGGCCATTAAGATATAGTAGCGCTCGCAAAACGTGTAAATTCCGTGAATGTCGCGGAAATCCAAGAATTTCGCAAAATCACGCGAATCACGCAAACTACGCAGCGCCATCCTTCGAAATGATAACATTCTAAACCCGAAAAAACGATTGTGCTCAGCTTATCAAGGCGAATCTTTTGATAGACAGCATGCCTTTGTTATTCCGTTTCCATTCTCAAATTTTTTTTGCGGAAGTTGTTTCGCAAGGATGTAACACAGCCCACAACGCACATAAATAAGCACCATTTGATTGTGCTGTTTCCGTTGATTAATCGGCGCTAGAAAATAGCCGTGGACTTCTTTTAGAAAGAGAAAGAAGAGCTGGTGTTTTCTGAAGAAATCATGTCATCCCATATTCTACTCACCACAACCCTAAAATATGGAGCTCCCCTTCTAAGTAGATGTGATTTTCGTAATTAGCAGGTAACCTCTGTGACCAAGTTTTCAAAGAAGTTCGAGTTATTTGATTTTTTCCTTTACGCTTTGAAGCTTTTCAGATGATTTCAAATGTTGTTGATCTTAGATTGTAACGAAAGTTCGCTCATAGAGGTTTTCGGGCACGCTGCGCAAATCTTGGTGGAGTCTTTGCAGAGAGGATCTTTTTGCATAGATACGGTGGAGTATGTAGTTAACCCATGAAAGTTCATAAACGCCCGCACTTCTCGTGTATTTATTAGGAAAACTTGCCTGCTTGCCTTTACAAGTTAGAATCACCAGGAGCAGTGCCATTGAACAGTGCATTTCTCAGGCTCCCATTCATAACGATCGCCGAGTTACGAGCTAAATCGCGTCCATATGAATATTGCTCAGAACGCAAGAATCGCATATTGTCGAAATTTCCT